TTCAGTTTCATGAGTCTCCACTTATTTTTGGTCTTTGTGCCTGTGCTGTTAACATCCTGTTCCTCATCAATAAGTTCAAGCCTATTTCTCACATTCTCCCCATCAGTTCCAGTGTATCTGCCCTTAGGTTGGGGTCCTCAACCCATTTGGAGCTGAGTTTCTGCAGGGTGATAAATGTGAATCTATTTGCATTCTTCTACATGCGGCTGTCCAGTTTGATGAGCACTATTTGTTGACGATGCTGTCTTTTCTCCAGTGTGTATTTTTGGCCTTTGCTTTTAGTAAAAATCAGGTGTCTGAAGATGTAGACTTGTTATGTCTGGTTCTTTGTTTTGATCCCATTGATAAGTGTGTCTGTTTTTAGGTTGAAGATAATTTCTTCAATTTCTGTGAAAAACTGTGTTGGAATTTTGATTGGAATTGCATTGAATCTGTAGATTGTTTATGGTAGGATGTTCATTCTAATGATTCATGAGTGAGGGATGTTCTTCTGATGTTCTTAATTTCTTTCTTCAATATCTTAAAGTTTTATTGTACAAGTCTTTCATTTGCTTGACTAGAGTAATTCCAAGATATACATTTTTGAAGTTGTTCAGTTTCCATGAGTTTGTATACTTTCTGCGGTTTCTGTTGTTGGTATCCAGCTTTTATTCATGGTAGTTAGATAGGATTCAGGGAACTATTTTAATTTTCTTGTACCTATTGAGACTTGATTTGTGTTCCCAGCATGTGGTCAGTTTTGGAGAAAGTTCCATGAGCTGCTGAGAAGAAGGTATATTCTTTTATGTTTGGGCAAAATGTTCTCGAGTATCTGTTAGGTCCACTTGGTTTATGATGTCATTTGTTTTGGCATTTCTCTGCTTAGTTTGTAGCTGGATGACCTGTCTACTGGTGAGAGTGAGATATTGAAGTTACCAACTATCACAATATGTGATTTTAGTAGTGTTCCTTTTATAAACTTGGATGCTCTTGCATTTCGAGCATAAATATTTATCATTGCAGTATCTTCTCGGTGGCTTTTTCCTTTGATGAGTGTGTAAGAATCATTGTAATAGCACCTGACTTCTTAATGGAGATTTTGAAAGCCAGAGAAGCCTGGACAGATGTTTTACAAACCCAGAGATGCCAGACTAGAATACCCAGCAAAAACTACCAGTCACATTCAACAGAGAAAGAAAAACATTCTATGGTAAAACCACTGAAGTTTCTATCAGTCCAGTTCACCAGAAGATACTAGAAGGAAAACAGTATGAAAAGGCTAATCACTCCCAAGAAAACACAAAGAATAAAAATCCTAAGCCAGCAAATCAAAAGAGGGGGGAAACTCCCACAATACAAAACAAAATCAGGAATCAATAAAAAATTGTTTCCCTATCCCTTGTGATTAGTCTTGGTTTGAAGTCTATTATGTCAGATATTAAAATGGTGACATCTGCTTGCTTCTTGGGTCCATTTGCTTGGAATACCTTTTTCCATCCCTTTATTCTGAGGTGATATCTGTCCTCGTTGGTGAGGTGTGTTTCTTAGATGCCACAGAAAGGTAGATTCAGTTTTCTAATACAATCTATTAGTCTGTGTCCTCTTTGTGGGGAATTGAGACCATTTATATTGAAAGTTATTAATGAGCACTGTTTCACTGTTGACTGAAACTGATAGTTTTACTGGGTATAGTATTCTCAGCTGGCATTTCTGAGTTTGTTAAACAAGTCTCCGTTGAGAAGTCAGGTGCTACTGTAATGAGCCCGTCTTTATATGTGGCTTCTTTCCCCGTTTCTTTGTTCTGTACACTCAGTGGTTTTATGATTATGTGTCATAGGGGACTTTCTTTTCTGATCTCGCTTATTTGCTGTTCTTTATGTCTCTTGTACACTGATGGGCATCCCTTCTTTAGGTTAGGTACATCTTCCATGATTTAGTTGAAAATATTTTCTGTGCCATTGCCCTGGGTTTCTTCTCTTCTCTCCTTGCTATTCCTAGGTTTGATCTTTTTATAGTGTCTCAGATTTTCTGTATGTTTTTTGTCTGGATGTTTTTGGATTAATTTTTTAAAAAAAAAAAAATAAGCTACCCAGTTCTTCTATCTTGTCTTCAATGCCAGAGAGTCTCTCTTCCCTGTCTTTTAATCTGTTGGTGAGGCTTACCTCAGAGCTTCTTGTTTGACACGCTAAGTTTTTCATTTCCAGTTGTATTTCAGTTTGGGCTTTCTTAGTGATTCTATTTATTAAATTCTACTTTCATGGTTTATATTGTTTTAATTATTTCTTTCAACCGTTTGCTTGCATTTCTATGTATCCATTAAGGCATTTACTAATATTCCCCCTAAGGTCTTGAACATATTCATATTTGCTATTTTGAAGTCATTGTCTTGTGTTTCAGCTAAATTGCTTTTCTCAGGGCCTATGGCAATTGGGTTGTTTGCTTCTGGAGGAGGCATATTGCCTTGAATGCTTGTGTTTTTGTTCTGGGATCTAGGCATCTAGAGTTATGATATTTGAGGTGTTCCTTGGTGTATATGTCTGGTCTCAATTTTGTTGGTTGGATAATTGATTCATTGGTTGCTGTTGTTGCCCTGGATCCTAGGTGGTGGCTGTGGGATCCATGTGTTTATATGGGTTTGAATGCTTCCTTGGGTTGGTGGGTAATAGAAAGGCATGGAGATGAGCGAGAAGGAAAGGGTGAGGGGGCAGCAGGAAAGAGCTAGAGGGACCCTGGGTCCCCACCAAGGGGTGGAGTCCCCAAGGAGTGGAGGTGAGGTGTGAGGAGGGCTTCTGCTGCACAGGCCTGAGTTCATCTGGAGAGAAGAGGATGAAAGAGTTAGGGGACCTGGGTCTGCCAATTTATGTCATGTGAGAAATGGAAAACCATATTTTAGAATCCCCTGGTTTTCCTAATTCTGTATCGGCACCAGCACATAGTTCCTACTTCCTAGCTTTTTCATATGCCATGGAAGGTAACAATTAGACAAAAAGCTACTTAAATCATAAACCTATCACCATTCAAATCTTTGATTTATAAGCCTTCAAATACTTTCCAGATACTGTTCAAATGTTGGAAACTTGGGAAAAATGCTGACACACTGCATTACTCAGTTACACACTCAGCCTTGGCTATGCTGACACACTGCACTGCTCATTTACACACTCAGCTGTGGCTATGCTGGCACACTGCACTGCTCAGTTACACACTCAGCCATGGCTATGCTGGCACACTGCACTGCTCAGTTACACACTCAGCCGTGGCTATGCTCACACACTGCACTGCTCATTTACACACTCAGCTGCCAAATCTCCACATGTGGGTCTTTTAGGGTGTCAGGAGAATATAATCGTGAGGATTCCTGGGGTTCAAAGCTGACAGAGTTTTATGTTAATATTTAACTGTCAGTATTGAGGCGCAGTGGCCATGTGGTGGAGCACTGGTTACAGACCCTTGGGTCTGGGCTCTACTAGCCCAGTCAAAAGGGGGAAACGCAAGAAATACCAATGTCAGTCACGCTTTTTGCGAGGGCTACCAGGTGGCTTTATTTACTTGAAAATGCAGACAGGTGCTTTCCAGGGAGAGGTTTGTAGATTCTGTTGCTCATCTCGCTTTCATTCTTTGACGGCAGATACTGACTCTTAGAACACACCACGACTGTTAAGTGGTCAAGCACATTCCACACGTTTTTCTGCAACATGGTGGCATTATTAGAAGAAGACAAATCTGAATTGCACACAAAATGCAACATCTACATTTTAAAATGTTCGTTTTGAAGTGTCACAGATAAAGAATTCTGTCCAGTGCTGAGAGTATGGCTCAGGAGATGGACTTCCTACCACACCCTGAAGATAGATTGCAGGAATACAGCCAACACCTTCATTACGATGCTGCAAATAATGCTTGTTTTTCTTATGATATAATTAATTTTCCTTCAGTCCCATAGTACGGGCTGGAAAGATGCACTGCGCAGTTAAGAGCACTGTTAAGAGCAGCACTCTGGCTGCTCTTCCAGAGATTGGTTTCCCAGCACCCACACAAGGCCCCTCACACAACTCACACACAACTGCCTAACTCCAGCTCCAAAGGATCCAACACTTCTCTCACCTCCATGGAAAAGAGCACATAGGTTCACATATGCACGCTTGCACATACACACATATAGTAATATAAATCTTTTTAAAACTCTACATGCTAATAAAAAAACATTGAAGGAATAAAAATTTACATGTCTCTGCTAGTTAATCTGAACCATGGAACATCAGAAAAATTCCCACTATGATAAGTGACTATATTAAAAATTTTGATTTTTTTTTAATGTGGGAGTGTTTTGCCTGCATGTATGCCTGAGCACCATGTGTATACCTGATTTCTATTGAAGTCAGAAAAAGGTTTCTGGGAATGGTGACACACACCTTTAATCCTAGCACTCAAGAGGTGGAGGCAGGTGGATCTCTGAGTTCGAGGCTAGCCTTGTCTACAGAGTGAGTTCCAGGACAGTCAGGACTGTTACACAGAGAAACCCTGTCTCAAAAAACCAAGGGGAGAAAGAAAAAGAGAGAGGGAGGGAGGGAGGA